TTTTTATCTCCTTCGTCTGCAGAGTCTGAAGTTGGCAGGGCACATAGGGAGCGCTCTATCCAATCCCTTTTGTAAGTGGGGAACTGAGGCAAAGGAGGGACTTGTCTTTAGGACGTGGCCTCAGGCCTCCAACCCTCATCCAGCCCCTTTCCCGCAGGCCCATAGGGGACACAGCACGCACTGCCCTGCTGGGTGAGAAGGGCAGAGCACACAGCCTCGCCTGGGCGTGGGGGGTGGGGGGGACATCTGTCCTAATACAGCCTTGCAGATAACAGGGTGGGCTTACCAGTCCGGTATTTTTTGTTTGTTTGTTTTGGCACCTGGAACCACATGGGGGCATAATTAGGATGGAGGCCAGAGTCTTTTTGACATACTGGGACAAACAAATCAGACATCCATTCATTCATCAATATTAAGGCTTACTCTGTGCCTGGCGGGATTGTGTGAGATCAGGGTATTACATTCAGCACCGGGGGGTGGGGGTGGGGGGGTACTATGCCCAGCGCAAGTGGCCGTAAAATACAACAACAGAAAAGGCAGCCACTTCCATGACCCGATAGTTACCGTAAAAACTCCCCATTCAGACAAGAAGAGGTCTTTGGACCCACCGAGTCTGTGTGATGTCAGAAACAAGAGCCAGCAAAGAATAATTCCATTTATTCGGAGTGACTATAAAAGACAGACAAAATAATAATAATAAAGAAAAAAAGAAAGAAAAAGAAAAACACGTCGCACTGAGGGCAAAAAAGAATTTTTTATTAATATTTCTTTTTAGAAAAGTTGTTTTTTTTGTGTTCTTTTTTTGTGTTTTATTGTTTTTTAGGTAAACCTCTTTCTGCTTCCCCTCCCTCACTCTGCCCACCCTCCTCTTAAAAATATAAAAATGTCCAGCCCCAGATAACTAGAGTACAATAAATAAACAGTAAACACAAAAACATACTTTATTTGTTTCTTCTTTATACAAAATAAGGAAACTAGAAGCGTCCAACTTCCAAAAAAGTATAATACTGTACATCCTGACGACCCAGCCTCCAGGCCCGGGCAGGGAGGGGGTCTGTGGGCCAGAGCCCAGCGCCCGCGGGGAGAGCAGGGTGGGCGAGTGGTCGAGTCTGGCCTGGCCCCTGGGGCTCAACA